CTCTTACTTCTTCATCAGCAAGGTTTTTTTGTTTTGTTTTGTTTTTTTGGTTTTTCGAGACAGGGTTTTTCTGTGGCTTTGGAGGCTGTCCTGGAACTAGCTCTTGTAGACCAGGGTGGTCTCGAACTCACAGAGATCCGCCTGCTTCTGCCTCCCGAGTGCTGGGATTAAAGGCGTGCACCACCAACGCCCGGCTCATCAGCAGGTTTTAATTCCTTTCTTAGTTCTAGGATTCAAACCGGCCAATCACATTCACCAACAGAGCTAGAGGGCACCCCCACCCTCTTGCTACTACGAAGCTTGCCTCCACAGCTATTGTTTTCTCCATTGCCAAGGGCAGATCCAGTGCAGCCATGTCTGGCTTGCAGTATTGTCTTCCCTTGAACTGCGGTCACATTTAAGAAACACATGTTATCAATCTCACTTGTCTAGTGTCAGATGTTCTGTTTGGCAGCTCCTGTAACTTTAGGCTTGGGAATCCCTCTCTTATCAATAGGATAAAGAAGAGCCATTAAAAACAGAAGTAGTGGCGAATGCCTTTGATCCCAGCACTTGGGAGGCAGAGACAGGAGGATCTCTGTGAGTTCGAGGTCAGCATGATCTAATGATCGAGTTACAAGACAGTCTCCAAAGCTACAGAGAAACCCTGTCTTGAAAGATTAAAAAAAAAAAAAATCTAAAAGTCCAAGGAGACTGATTGAGAAGAAAGGAAGGAAGGAGCGGGGGGGGGGGGGGGGGGGGAAGGAAAGGACAGGACAAGACAAATGAGAAGACTGATTGGGTCTGGTATGGTGGCTTTATCTCAGCACTCTGACGAGGCAGAGGCAGAGGCAGGTGGATTTCTCTGCAATGGGCTGTGTCTTTAACTCAGTGCTTGCATGAAGTCCTGGATTTGAGCACTATCACGACATAAAACTGAGCAGGCAGCACACACCTGTCATCCTAGCACTTGGAGTTAAGCCGAGGATCAGAAGTTCATCGTCATCCACAGCTATATATGGAGTTCAAGCCCAGCATCAAAATAACTACACACATAAATAAATCTGTGTTGTTCCCCAGCACTAGGCTTTGGGCAAGACGTCATGGCAGCAGTGGAAACAGACTCAGAGGGATGATTATTGTTAAATGGTGAATAAAACCACAAAGGCCCCAGTCTACAGAAGAACAGGCAAACAGATCACTCATATAACCCAAACGGCCACTCTGAAGGAGAACGTGGGGCTTCTTCTGTAGGAGGACTGTAACTGCCAACACCAAATTGGTAGAGAATGCACTTTAATTCGCATTGTAGTTTGGGTGTTTGTACTAAAGCTTGTGTAGAGTTTTGTGCACATGAATATGTGGAGTCCAGAGGGCATCAGGTGTCTTCCTCGATTACTTTCCACCTTGATCACTCTCCACCTAGTTTTCTGAAACAAGGTCTTTCACTAAAGCTGTGTTGCTCATGGATTTGGCTAGACTTAATGGTCAATGAGGTATAAAGATTGGCATGCTTGTCCCCACCCCCAGTTACAGACATACTCCGGGCACCGGGCATTTATATGGGTGCCCATTAAGCACTTTACCAACTGAGTCGCCTCTCTAGCCCCAGTATTAAACTTTTTTTTCCTTACAGCAGTGCTTACTTAATGAAGAACTAAAATCCTTTGGAACTGGACTGAATATTTATGGAAATTACCTGTAAAAGTTCTTAAGACTACATAGATCAATATGAAAAAATATAACTGGAATGGCCATGATCCAAGTATGGCATCATCTTTTATAATGTTTTATAAGATGATTACATGTGCAACACAGCCCATGAAAATCAAAAAGTCAACAAAAACATAAAACTATATTCATGATTGTATTCTTCTCAATTTTTGACTAATTGCATACCATACTTAAAGTAGATAGTTTATACTTTTATGTTCCCCAAGGTCTTAACATTCAATATTGTTTTTGTTTTGGGAGCAATGGAGCACACCTTTGATTTCAAGCACTCATTGGCAGAGAGGGGGAACCTCAGTGAGTTAGTTCAAGGCCAGCCTGGTCTACATAGAGAGTTCTAGGCCTGCCAAGACTACACAGTGAGACTTTGTTTCTAAATAAATAATAAAACAATAAAATAATTGATGGGTCATATTATAATACTAAGGAGCCACCTGTACTTGATCACTGTAAACTTCCTTGTAAGATACAAGGTCAAAAGAAAGACCAATCACTATCCTCAAATAAGCTCTCTGTACTCACAACTGTTTGTCATACAGGTTTTTCTGTCTTGTTTTGAAGGAAAGTCTGGTTCTCCAGGCTGGCTAGAGCTTGCTATATAGCCAGAGAGCCTTGAACTCCTCATCTTGTAGCTCCTATCTGCTGGGGTAACAGAGACCCAGTCAATTTCATGGAAATGTACAAACTTAAAACAGCTCTAAGTTTTTGTTTGTTTTGTTTTTCTAGACAGGGTTTCTCTGTGTAATAGCCCTAGCTGTCCTGGAACTCGATCAGTGGGCCAGGCCTTGAACTCACAGAGATCTACCTGCTTCTGCCTCCCAAGTGCTGGGATTAAGGCATGTGCCATCACCTTCTGGTTAGCTCTAAGTTTTGTAATAGCTAGAATAAATCAAGCCACTTCAGAATTTTCTCTGTAAACTTGTTTTACATAATTACTACAGACAGACTTGGTGATGACCTAATAAAACTTTTATTATCTGCCTTTGTGTCTTTCACTTTGCTATGCCATTGTCTCTTCTCCTGAGTTGTTGTTGTCACTCAGTAGGACAGTAACTGAGTTGTGGAAACAATTTCCTGAAGATTATGGACAATATGTTCAATAATATCTCCCTTATGAATTTATATGTTACTCTGGTCTATTTTGATGAAACAATATGCACAGAATAAAAGGATATTAAGGCAGCCAGGCATTTGAGAGGCAGAAGAAATCAAAAGTTCATGCCAGTTTTGAATGAGATTGGCCCCCATAGGCTCATATATTTGTATGCTTAGTCTCCAGCTGATGTCAGAGGATAGGAACAGCCTTGTCAGAGTGGATGTGGCCTTGTTGGAGGAGGTGTCACACCAAGCCCAGTGTCTGTCTTTCTGTTTGTCTATCTGCTTGCCTCTGCCTGGTCACTGACAATAAGGATGTAGAGTTCTCAACTACTGCTTCAGAACCTTTTGTTTGCTGCCACGCTCCCCTCCATAATGGACTAACACTCTGAAACTGTGAGCAAGACCCCCAATTAAATGCTTTCCTTTATACAGATTGCCTTGCTCCGGTATCTCTTCACACAGTAATATAAAAGTGACTAAGGGGCTGGAGAGATGGCTCAGAGGCTAAGAGCACTGGCTGCTCTTCCAGAGGTCCTGAGTTCAATTCCCAGCAACCACATGGTGGCTCACAGCTCTGGTGTCCTCTTCTGGTGTGAACATTGTATACATAATAAATAAATGTTAAAAAAGAAAGAAAAAACACAAACAAAAAGGGCTGAGGATGTACCATCGTACAATGCTTGCCTGCATGCAGGAGGCTTTGGGCTCAATCCCTAGTACCACATAAACTAGACATGGTAACTAACACATGCCTATAATCCCAGCACTTTCATGGAAAGAGAAGGATCAAGGTCATCCTCAGTTTTATAGCCAGTTCAGGGCCAGCCTAGGCCAAAACAGACCTTGTCTCAAAAAACAAACAGGACTGAAGAAATGGCTTAGTGGTTAAGAACACTTTCTGTTTTCTGGAGGACATAGGTTTAGTTCCTAGCACCCACGTTGGGTGCTCATAATCACTTGTAACTCTAACTTCTGGGATCAGACACCCTCCATGGATACCTGATGCACACACATATACAATAAATCTTTAAACAAACTAAGAACAGGGCTGAAGATGTGGCTCAGTGGTAAGGAACACTACTATTCTTGAAGATGTCTTGAGTTCAGTTCCCACCACCCATATGTGGCTGTCACAATTGCCTGACTCTCCAGCTTTAGGAGACACTGCTGGCCTCCTTAAGTACCTGTACACACACACACACAGAGTTATGTACAATACATAACACTTACCTAGATACTCACTCTTGGCCCTGTACTCAATACAAAAGGAACAAGGGTCTTTAAGACTCTTTCTTTTTTTTCTTTTTAATTTCTGTATGTAACTTTTTTTCCCCAACTTTTTTATTTGAATTAGGAACAGGATTGTTTTACATGACAATCCCATTTCCCTTCTCCCACCCGTCCTCCCCTACCCCCCACCCACTAAAACCTTATCTGTCACATATCTTCTCTGCTCCTCCTGGAGCAGAGAAGACTCTATTTCTTTCTCTTTTATTTTTGCAGGACCTCACATTCAAGTACTCTAATACTGAATTACATTTCCACATCTATCGGTCAAAGCTCTGTTCATGGAGCAGGGCATAGTAGTGTAAAACCAAAACCCCAGTGCTTATAAGGCAGAAGTTGGAGCACTGAGAGTTCAAGGCCAGCTTAGGCTGGATCTTAGTAAGATCCTGTTTAAAATAAACAAAAATTAGATTTGTTGATGAGCTGTAAAATCAAACCACCATTGGTGTGCTGAAAGCTTAGCCACCACTGGCAATGAAATACAATAGACAAAAAGCATCACGGACCAGGATATAGCAAGTAATGTACTGTGAAATGCTTGCTTCAGCTCCCTACAAGAAGATATGCTTGAGTTACATAAGACCCTATCTAGAAACAGAAACAAGTGTTTAAAATATTTATATATTAGCTTATTGTGTATGGTGCTAGAGTTCAAACATGAGACTCTATATGAGATGCATCCACAGCCCTGAGAATGTTTAATTAAAAACTTAGAATTTTTTAACACTTAATGTTTAAAAAATTTTAAGTTGCTTATCCTGGCTGTCCTGGAACTCACAGAGATCTACTTGCCTCTGCTTCCAGACTAACGGTGTGTGCTACCAGCATAGCTTATCCTTCGGGTTTTAACTGAGGAGCTGTGGAAACAATTTATACACATTTAGCAAACCATTAGCTACTTAGTATGTGGTAAACTGTTCATTTACTAAGTTTATTACATTAACAGGCTAAGCACTAAAAATGAACACATAATGCACAAAAGATTATATGTCTTGTGTGTGGGTGGGCTGGAGAGATGGCTCAGTGGTTAAGAGCACTGGCTGCTCTTCTAGACAGCCTAGGCTTGATTCCTAGCATCTAAATGGCAGCTCATAACTGTTTGTAACCCCAATTCCAGGGAGCCAATGCTCTTTTCTGACTTCCATGGACACTAATGTTTGCAGACAAAATACACATACGTTACAGGCTTTTCCTTTTACACCAAGCCCTTGAAATATCATAAATTAAAGGCTGATGCCAGGAATGTGACTGTGTATGCCTGTAATTCCAGCATTTGCGAGGCTGAGTCCAAAGTACCCTAATTTGAAGCCTGCTTGGGCTACATGACTCCATCTCAAAAAAAGAATTTTTTTTTTTTTTTTAAATGTCAAGAAATTGGGTGGTGGTAGTGAATGCCTTTAATCCCAGTACTCAGGAGGAGGCAGAGGTAGGCAGATCTCTGACAGTTCAAGGTCAGCCTGGTCTACAGAGTTCCAGGACAGCCAAGGCTATACAAAGAAACCTTGTCTTGAAAACAAGACAAGAAAAGATGTCAATATATGCTTTCATCCTACTTCAGGCCTTGAGTAGGTCCTGAATGAATGGCCTAGCAGTGCCAGAGCTGCATCTCGATACCTAGAGGCAGAGTACTGGTACATCTCAATACCTAGAGACAGATGTTAGGGGTGTGCTAGGTGGAGGCAGGGTACTGGAACAGTCTTGGTCTGAAAAGCCTCTCTTATTGGGGATTTTTTGTTGTTGTTGTTATTTGTGTTCGTGTAAGTGAATGTGGCTCTATATGTGCCATGGAGCCTGTGTGGTGGTCAGAGGACAATTTTCTGGAATAGGTCTCAATTGCCACTTGCTGAGGCAGGGGCACTCTTGTTTCTGTTGTTATACTGCATATTCCAGGCTAGCAGCTGGGCTGTGCTACCATCTCACTGCAGGAATTCTGGGATTACAGATGCATGGTAACATAGCTACCTTTGTCCATGGTGTCAGGGATTGAACCTGGTCAACACACTTGCACAGACAGTGCTTTTACCTGGGGAACCACCTCCCTAGCCTCCACTGTGTAGTCCATGTCTTCCTGGGCTTTCAGCCTTGCTGCCGTTATGGATCTGCTGATGTACTCTGATGGTATCAAGATTCTGCCTTAACTGCCTAGAGGGAGAGTATTAAGAACTGCACAGGTTGTTTTAATGGTAACCACTGATGAGCTGACTCTACCGTCAGTTATGCCTCTCCTACCTTACCCTTTACCACAGTTATCCCTATTTTTTCTACTATTAAGACTAGGTTATAGTTGACTTTACCAACAATGGATATAGCCTTTTATTCACTAGAAGTGCCTACTGTCTCCAAAAACAAATAAAGGAGGCTGTACATGGTGGCACATGCCTTTAATTCTAGTACTTGGAAAGTAGAATCAGGCAGATCTCTGTGAGTTCAAGGCCAGCTTGGTGTATACAGTGAGCTCCAAGCCAGTTAGTGAGATATTGTACACACACACACATACACCCAAGAGATTAGAGAAGAGATGGCACAAAGGTTAGGACTCTACCAGAGTCCTCAGCACCTACATGGCGGCTCTCAACCCTTTCTAACACCAGGACCAAGGGATCTGATGCCCTCCTCTGGACTCTGCAGGCATGTGCATGGTGCACACAAATCCACACAGGCAAAAACACCCATATACAGAAAATAAAAAAAAAAAAAAGTGTCTTGTCTTCAGCACAATATGATGCCCACTCCATACACAGCCCACGGGAAGCGGAGCAAATGACCCTACAAGAGACACACATCCCACACCACTTCTGAACACATGTTCTTCATACCTCCAGTGGGTGGAATCACCCACACCACTCAGAACTTTTTTTGTCAAGGATTCAGGGCTGAGTTCATGTGATGTGCTGTCAGAACAATTACATCCAGACCAAATGGGCCTTCTTCTTCCTCTCCCTGCCTCATGAGAAGCTGGCCAGTCTTTCTTCCAGAGATCTCCCTTTCAGAGGCTACAAAGACAGCCTTTGTCCCCAGGTCTCTATCATTGGCATTTCTCATTAACTCTTCTCCCCAGGGCTCTTGACTCTACTCAGAACTCCTGGGTCTGTAATAAGATGGAGAAACTTCCTTCAACAACTGGAGGAGATATGACCTGAGAGATTCTCCGATATGCACTTCTGCTGCCCAAGAAAAGGAACTCATCCTGGGAGCTGGGCTTGCAGGGCACAAATGGATACAATAAAGGTGCAATAGGTTGTTTTTGTTTTTTGAAATCATGAATGGGACTTTTGCCACCTCATAAGGGTGGAACCGCTATGATACACCCTGAGGTCTAGATTTCACCTGCTTATCTGGGACGACAGGCCAGGCCCTCGACACCAAGCTACAGGAAGCTCAGCAGTGCTCAGAGGCCTTTAATCCCCAACTTTCTGGTCAGATGCCATCCCTGCCCCAAGATGGCAGGGAAGGAAGTCGAGGTATGTAGGCCACATGATACATTCAAGTGGGGGCTGGAGTCAGGCTGAAGCCTGGGCAGGAAGGTCCTGGCCCCAGGAGATGAGGGAGTTGCTGGCCTGGGCAAGCTCAGTGATGGACACCCGGCCCCGCTGTCTGATGAAATTGGCCACGGCAGCCAGCTCCTCTGGGGTTATGTAGATGAATTTGCCCCGGTCGTCAATCACACCTGTAGGAACATGCACGTTGCAGGACTGAGTCCTCCCGGGCTTTCCCTACCTAACCTGAAAATGCCCGTTTATTCCTTTACAACTATTTAGAGCCTTTTTGTTCTCCTGTCGGTCTGGCTCTTCCTGGGTATATCAAATCCCATGCAGGTGAGTCACACCAATCCTTTCTTCATATTCCTCATTCCACCGCTAGGCCGAGGCCTCTATATGTCTTCCTTGTAACCAAGTCCAATTCCTCAGTTTCCCTCATTGCATATCCCCCCCAACCGAGAGAGGCCAAGCTGCTCTTGGAACAAGTCCCAGCAGCCTTCTGTGGTCACACACTCCCCCAGGCCAGGGATATATAGTTGATTCTCATTCTCTCACCTGTTAGAGTCCCCTCGGTGAGTAGGTCTTGGATGCGGTTTATGGTGTCCTATGAGGAAAACAAGACTCAGAGCTTGTCTTGGGGTTTCCATTCCCACAGTCCCATTACCCCTCTACTACTCCAGTCAAATTTCCCCCTCTCCTTATCAAGCTTATCCCCTGGCTGTGACCATGGTTCCCATTGGAGGGACTCTTGAAGTGACTTTGATCCTAGGATATGCCAGCTCTCTTTCAGCTGGAAAAGGAATAATGGAGCTGTATGGCTGCAAAATAGCCTGTTTGCAAGAGGTAATTGGATTCAGGCTGCTTTGGTCACAGGGAAGGCTAGAGTATGGCATTTGAATTTCCTTTTTCTTTCCTGTTCTTTTCATCTCTGTAGAAATGCAGGATTCCTGGAATGTCCTATTCACTCTTGGTTGGAGATAGCCTCGAGGGGCATCACAACTTACCATATTCAGGCCAGCCCCCTACTTGCCTCATAGACCCATTAGCTATATCCCATATTCTAATCCACAGCCAGAGCTTACCTGAGTCCTTAGACCCATCTGGAAAGCCAGATCTTCCAAAAGCACAACCTTGGACTGCTATAGATAAAAGGAAGAAGAGAGAGGCTGAGACCACTTGGCCAGCTCAAAGCCAGTGAGATGCCATTTATTGATTGATTGATTGATTGATTGATTTACTTATTTATTTTTTCCCAGTTTTTGGAGACAGGGTTTCTCTGTGTAGCTCTGGAACCTGTCCTAGAACTTGATCTGTAGAGTAGGCTGGTCTCGAACTCAGAGGTCCACCTGCTTCTGCCTCACAGTGCTGGGACTAAAGGTGTGTGCCACCACCATCTGGCTTGCACATCATTTTCCTAAACTAACACTTTTAGAGGTGTGTGTGTTTGTGTGTGTGTGTGTACACCTGCAACAACATATATGTAGCAGCCAGAGGAAACCTTCAGAAATCAGTTCTCTCCATTCACCATGTGAGTCGCAGGAACTGAACTGAGATCTTGAGATCTTGAGGTCTGACAGTGAGGGCCTTTACCTGCTGAGTCATCTTGCCAGCCCAAATTTTGATCTTTTTGTTTTTAACCTTTTAAAAATAAAATAGTTACCTAAACCAGGTGCTGCAGATAATACCTGTAATCCCAGTACTTCGAAGTTCGAGGCAGGAAGGTCAGTTCAAAACTATTTTTGGCCATGTATTGAGTCTAAGGCCTGTTTAAGCTACAAGACTCCATCTCAAAAAGCCAAAACTATAAAACATAACTTTTCATCTAGAGTTGTGCTTGCTGAGGACCTGCCAGACAAGAAATTAAGATGGGAGATGGAGAGGTGGCTCAGTGATTTAGAGCACTTGGACTCTTGCAGAGGACCAGGTTTGATTCCTAGCACCCTCATGGTGACTCACAACCATCACAACTCCAGGTCCACAGAACTCCAGGAGCACAGGCATGTTTGTGGTGCACATACATTCATGCAGGTAAAAACATTCACATACATTAAAAGGGGAGGTTGAAGAAATAGTAAACAAGAGAGACAGTTCCTACCCCTGGGCTAAAAGCCTCTCTGATGAACAGAAGTAGATAGAAAAGGAAAGCTAACAGGCCTGAGGTCTTTCATAAGTGATCCCTTCCTTCAGGCTAGATTTCCATAAAACTGACATATCCATACTTCTTTCCAATCACTCTCTTCACACTGTCTGATGCATACCCCCTCTCACTGGGATTGGTCAAATAATTACCACTAGGGCTGGCAAGATGGTTGTCAGTCAAGTGCTTGTGTGCTGTCAAGGACCAGAGTCTAATCCCCAGAACTCACATAAAGAAGGTGGGTGTGACTGTGGCAGTGCATGAACTTAGGACGCAGAGGCAGAGGCAGAGGCAGAGAGGCAGAGGCAGAGAGGGAGAGGCAGAGAGGCAGAGAGGCAGAGGGGCAGAGAGGCAGAGAGGCAGAGAGGCAGAGGCAGAGGCAGAGGCAGAGGCAGAGGCAGAGGCAGATAGATTTCTGGGAGCTCGAATCTATACAGTGAGAACCTGTCTCAGAAACAAACAAATAGCTGAGTGTGTTGACATCATGCACCTGGAACCTCAGCGATGGAAAAACAGAGATAGGTAGATTACTGGGGCTCACTGGTCAGCCAGTGTAGCCTGTTTGGTGAGATCCAGGCCACTGGGCAACTGCACATCACCTTCTTACAAAAAATAAAAACAAAATTTAAAAAGGGGGTGGACAGTACTCGAGGAACAAGCAATACTAGAAGTTCCCCGCATATGTGTATATCTATGTATACACACCAGTACACAGGAGCACCCACACATACAAACACGCAAAGTAACCATATTAACATGCCATGTTTCATGTGCTGCTCTCACATCCTCAGGAGAAACTTTAGCTCCCAGCAGCTCAGTCAAGGAGTCACAGCTGGGTCTACACATGCAGCTGCCCCCACCTTTGCCACATATAGCATATGCTTTGGGAGAAGGCGGTCCCTTGCATTTCCGTGAATCTTCCACAGCAAATGAGCTGGGGGAGTAATGACATGGGGACGCCTCCTCAGCTACATATGGCATGTGACTTGTTGGAATGCCAACCTGCATGTGCAAGCAGGGATACGGGGTGGGGAGTGGAAAGGTTGGGGAGGGTACAATCAAGAGGCAGTTAGATCACGCATCGGGCAAGCACAGGTGATCTTGCCAGCAGCTTCTACCTATAAAACAGACCAGGCACTAGGCCCTCAGTAGCAGTTTGGAGCAGGAACATAGTCGCCTCCTGCGGTGCCTGGTTCCTGAGGATGTGGTCTGAGGATGCTACTAGGGTCAAAAGTGTATTTGAACAAACAGTTATACGTAGCCATGGCAGAAAGTGGAACAGACATTCCTATTGTTCATATGAAGCAAGCTGTGTGCAGAAACCTTCTCCAGTTCTGAAGTTCTGTCTAGAAGGACTGATCCCTTGAAGTGTGGAAGAAAGTGGAAGGGATGAATTTCAGAGGTGTCCTTCTTCCTCTAAGGTGGTAGCTCCAAAGGGATAAGCTAGCACAGGCTGAACAAACTCCTAAGCTCAAGCGTTTGGAGAGCATCACGAATGGGGTGATGGTAGCACATGCCTTTAATCCTAGTACTCAAGAAGCAGAGGCAGGCAGATCCACAGTGTCTGCTCTACTAAGTGAGTTCCAGTATAGCCTGGTCTACAAAGTGAGTTCCAGTACAGACAGAATTACACAGAGAAATATCTAGAACAACAACAACATCAAAAAGAAAAGGAACCTCCAGGGAGCCACCAAAGCCAGAGCCAGACCTACCTGGAAACTTCCTGCTAGCCTCTGCAGAAAAGAGGGCAACACTGAAGCTGACCTCTAAATCCACCTGGGAGGCCTCAAAGGAAGTGCTGCTTCCCACTGTAGGTAGGGATAGCAAGTTCTCAACAACAGCAGGAAGGACAGTGTGAAAAAAATTTGCCCAGGGCAGTGTGCCAGGGTAGAGTATGGGCTTCATTGAGGGGAAATGCGCACAATCTAAGGGAAAAGGGCCCTCTGGAAGATCCTGGGCCCCAGACATGTGCCCAGCCCCTCGCTGTTGTGGAGAGACATCTAAACCCTGCTCTCTTTTAGGAGAGGTGGGGGAGGATTATGCAAGCCCCAGCTTCTTGGCAGCCCCTGATACCACCCCCACCATCGCCCCCGCTCCCTCTGTACTCCTTCCCTCAGCTGCCTCTGCACCTCTGAGCTGCACTTGAAAACCTCTCCCCTTCTCGCATCCTTTGTGGGAGAGAAGTTGCTTAGCAGCAAAGCAGATCAGGATGTGCTTACGCACTGCAGAGCAGCATCGGGGCAGCCTGTGAAGCGGCTATGGATGGAGGGACACTGCTGACTGCTCTAGGTTACAATGGAAACACCATCCTATTTCTTCTTGAAGGTCCAAGTTCCCAGGCAGGACCACAGAGCACAGGACATTTGTTCCAACTCAGTGGCACCTCAGCGTGACAGCACTGACAGAAAACACATGTGAATTGACTTCAAAACACGATGACTCATTGAGCGTGGGGTCTGAAGAGCAGAGGAACTGTCAAACCAAGAATTAGGAAGCCATCAGAGGCTTGCGCTTCCCACACAGACCACTGTCCTTCTCTACCTCCTGGGTGTGAAGGGAAGGGACTTTCCTGGCCAAGAACCAGTTGCTGGACCCCATGCTCATTCTGGTCCAGGACTAAATGAAACATCCCCCGCTTGGTCCTGAGAACATCTACAAAACACACATAGACACTTACGCACACTCACATGGCAGGAGAAGATACCGGAGTTCTCTGAGCCTCTTACCTTAATGTAATTGATGAATTCTGCCAGGAAGCTGTGAGACTAAAGGCAGAGAAACCAGTGAGCATCACCCCTGGCTGGAGGCACATGATTCTATGCCTGGCCCTAACTATCTATACTCCCTGATCACCTGCCTGCTGCCCTCTGCTTTCATGAGGGGTAGAGCCTCTCAGACTAAGGAACAACAGGACAACATTCTCTGCTGAGATGAAGGCTACAGTTACTCTTACAGGCACCCACCCTGCTTCTCAGTGCACAGCCAGAAGTGTCTAAGGTGGAGTGGATGGCCTTGGACCTAACACACAATACCCTTGTGGCACAGGTTTCCCAGGAGTGGTGTGCCCACCTGTTCCTCAGTCATGGTTTCGCTAACACCTTCCTCTTCTACCACGAAGGCCTCCTTCAGTTTCAGGTATTCCTCGTGCTCCCGCCGGGCCTGCTCCTCCCGAGCCTTTCTTTCTTCCTCCTCCTGTGGACACAGAGAAAGGAGAGGCAGGTATTTGGGGCAGCTGCCCACTCACATCTGTTCTGGTTTCTGCTGTCTCTGCAGGACACAAGCACATACAGCCTAGAGACAGTGTTTCTGCAAGACTTTCACCCTTTGGTCTCGAGCTAAACAACCGGTGGAGGCTTCCTCACCAGCCCTATCAACCAGGCAATGCTGCTCAGTCCCTCCCCTGTCTCTTGCTCAGGAGGTAATATAGGAAAAAATTCTCTCTCTCTCTCTCTCTCTCTCTCTCTCTCTCTTTCTCTCTCTTTCTCTCTCTTTCTCTCTCTTTCTCTCTCTCTCTCTCTTTTTTTCGGTCTTTTTGAGACAGAGTTTCTCTGTGTAGCTTTGGAGCCTATCCTGGCACTCGCTCTGGAGACCAGGCTGGCCTCGAACTCACAGAGATCCACCTGCCTCTGCCTCCCGAGTGCTGGGATTAAAGGCGTGTGCCACCAACGCGGTAGGAAAAAATTCTTGAAAAAATCCTTGGTCATGTCCAGATATAAACAAACAGCAGATTCTGCTTCCTACTACCCATGCACACAGCCAGTCCACTATAGAGTCTGACTTCTGAGTCACCTGAGTAGATAGCCTCACCAGAAGTACCGTCCTGGCTGCCTTGATGGATGTGGGAAGGCCCACCTTCCAGTAGCAGCCCAGATAAAAAGGGCAGGTCAGAGGAGACTTGTAGGGGAAGCTGTAGCCACGCCTACTTAGGGGCTGGCTACAGCTTCCCCTACAATTCCCCTTTTAGTCTGCCAGCCCCTAAGTAGGCGTGGCTACAGCTTCCCCTACAGAGACTATCTGGCCTTTTGCTCAACCAGTGTCTTTGCTCACCTCCCTCTTGCCCATGGAGGCCAAGAGTGGACATCAGAACCTCTGGAGCTGGAGTCACCAGTGTTTGTGCGCCACTTAATAAGGGTGCTAGGATCCAAACTCTGGTCCTCCAATAAAGCAGTAAACATCCTTCCCACTGACCTAGCTTTCTAGATCCAACTCTCCATTCTCTCTCTCTCTCTCTCTCTCTCTCTCTCTCTCTCTCTCTCTCTGTCTCTGTCTCTCTTTCTCTTTGGTTTTATTCAAGACAGGGTTTCTCTGTGTAGCTTTGGAGCCTATCCTGGCACTCACTCTGTAGACTCCATTTTCTAAATGAAGCAAAACAGTGACTTATTTCCAAACAAGTATGAGAAGATGGGGGAAAATAGTAGAAGGAAAAGCATAAAGTAATAGCTCAACAGTGGAACACGTCCCTGGAATGTACAGGCCGTGATCAATATTCAGTACTGGAAACAAAACAAAAACAAAACCTAACCTCACTCTAACCACAAGATAGACACCAGTCATTCCAGCACTCAAAGGCAGGTGTAAGCAGAGTGCCACAAGTTTGAGACCAGCCTATGCTACACAGAGTTGAGGCCTGCCTTTACATAGTAAGACCCTGTCTTGAAAAAAACAAATTAATTGATTAAAAACAAAAATCAGGCTGGAGAGATGGCTCAAAACAGTTAAAAGCACTAGCTGTTCTTTCAGAGGACTCAAGTTTGGCCATATGGTGGCCCTTATTTTTTTAATCTAAAAGACAAATAAATAAAATAAAAATAAAAATCAGTCAATCCAAATCAAGGTACAACCTACAACCGCTTTCCCAGTACCCCTCAAAACTATCAAGAGGCTAAACAGGAAAACCTGACAATCAAATCCCACAGAGGTCTAAGAAGACTTGACAGATAAATAAAACAGTATGTTTTATTTATATATATTTCATATATATGACCCTGCAAGAGAAAAATATTTGGGCTGGAGAGATGGCTCAGCAGTTAGGAGCAGTGGCAGCTCTTTCAGAGGACCTGGGATTGATTTCCAGCACCCACATGGTGGCTCAGAAGATTCTATAACTACAGTTCCAGAGGAATCTGGCACCCTCATCTGGCCTCCAAGCATAAAAGCAGGCAAAACACCATATACATAAAATAAAATTAAAAAAAAAATTACTAGGGCTGGGATGTATGTAGCTCAGTTGATAGGGTCTTTGCCCAGCAAGCATGAAGCCCTGGGTTCAATTCCCATCTAAACCAGACTAATAGTGCATGCCTCTCCTCTCAGGGTGTGGGAAGTAGAAACAGGAGGAAAAGACATCCTTGGCTACACAGCAAGTTCAAATCCAGTCTGTTGCCTCAAAAACCAAAAGGAAGAAAAAACACCTGAATAAATTGTGACACTTAATTAAGGGTATGTTAGTACAGCTTTGAGAAATGGGCCAATATCACAGTGAGGGGAGCTGCTGAGAAACCTAAAACAGGGAGAAAGCCAGAACACCAAAGGTAGATTAGGCATGATGACTACTCAAAGGTAATCAACTTTCTCTGCTCGTGCCTCCCACGGCCACTCTCCATGGCCAGGCGTCCTCCAGATATAAGAGTTCAACAACAAGGCCAGCCAGAGGCCCTCTTATTTTATGTACCCTACATGTTTGAACTTTCCCCTTTCTTGGAAACCTGGATCTTGAATAATCTGGCTGACAAAGAATCATTAACCACCTTTCTATGTGGCTCCAGTTCTCCAAGCACCACTCCTTTGCCAGGCACTCAATGGATTCATCATCTCTTAAAACTGTGGATAACCAGCTGGGCTGTGGTGGTGCATACCTTTAATCCCAGCACTTTGGAGACAGAGGCAGGAGGATCTCTATGAGTTCGAGGCCTGCTGAGTTCCAAAGCTACATGGAGAAACCCTGCCCCCACCCCAGCCCCTCACCCCCCCAAAAAAAAAGGAAAGAAAAAGAGACTGTGGATAATAACCTCAAGGTCCTTGGACCTAGAAATGACCTATTTCTCCACCTCCTTTTCTTTGTCCAGAGGCTCTGACCACGTTCAATGTTTCTCAAATGTTCTATACTTTGCAGCTCATGATCACAAGAATCCCCAGCTCTGGGCTGGAGAGATTGCTCAGAAATTAAGAGCATTGGTTGCTCTTCCAGAGGACCTGAGTTCCAATCCCAGAACCTACATGGTAGTTCACAGCCATTTTTAACTCCAGTTGTGATGTCCTCTCCTGGTCTCCATAGGCACCAGGCACACACATAGTGACAGGGTAAACAGACATACATGCAGGCAAAACACCCATACACATAAAGTTTGTTTTGTTTTCTGAGACAGGATCTCTTTACATAGCTCTGGCTGTCCTGGAATACAAATATCTGCCTGCCTCTGACTCCCAAGTGCTGGGCATGTACCACCATGTCTGGCTTTTTTTTTAAAACCCCATTCACATTAAAAAAATTAATTAAAAAAAAAAAAAGAGCCAGGCATAATAGTGTACACCTTTAGTCCCAACACTCAGGAGGCAGAGGCAGATGGATCTCTGAGTTCAAGGCCAGCCTGGTCTAGAGTTCCAGGACAGCCAGGCCTACACAGAGAAACACTATCAGTTCAAACCCATGGTGCTTCTACAGGTGATATTTTGAAGCCAGGGGAAAGCATAGAACAGGGCAAGCCCTTGTGCTGGATTCACAATCCATTTTCTATTTTAGAGACTGGACATAGCTAGTTAGCCCAAGCTGACCTTGAACTCAGGTCCTCCTGCTTCAGCTTCTCTAGTGCTGGGACCACATGTATGAGCCACCACCGCACCCAGTGCCATGCCTGTCTTGTAGGAGGGAGGCATTTGGGAGCTATCTCGGAGCCAGGTTAGGTCATAATGGGCCAGACAACCGTGTCTGGAATCAACCTCACCTTCTGTTCTTCCTTCAAGCGAAGCCGCTCCTCTTCCTTCTTCCATTCAGCCTCACGTTGGGACTCGAGGCGTTTCCGTTCCTCACGTTCAGCTTCCTCAGCCTGGAGAGAGGTGTTTCTAGGTCCTTCTCTCTTCCTCTGGCTAGTCTGCCCACCCCTGTGCCAGGACATAAGCTAAGACTGCAGGAGAGCAAGCCAGGTTGGCAGCAATACCAGTCTAGCATTAAAAGAACCCCAGGGGCAGTCTGTCCTGGGAACTAAAGGTTAGGCCCTTTCCCACCCTTGGGAGTTATGCCCCATCCTCTTGCTTGCCTCACGCTGGGCTTTTCGAGCCTGTTTTTCCTCTAGTTTCCGTAGTTTCTTGGCTCCAATTTTCCCTGTTGGGTGAGTTTCTGCTGGCTTCTCAACACCTTCTTCCTCCTGGGCTGGGTATGGTCAGGCAAAAACAATTTTAAGTCCTAGACAGAAAAGACATCCTCTCCTCCATCACCTTCCTCAAGGGATGGGGGGATGGGGGTAGGGATGGAGTGCGGTTCTACCCACCCCTGCCTTTCAGAAGCATCCACCACAAGTGTGCACATACGAGTGTGGGTGTGAGAAAATACTCATGTGTACTGGGTGGGGGATGGGGGTTGGGTTGGGGGGTGTTGAAAGGCCACAGGTACAAATGAGACTTTAGGTGCCACACAGCTGTAAGAAGGCCTCAACACCTGAATGTTTGTGGATCACAGGTGTCTGCACCTGAAGGTGTCCCTGATTTCTGTCTCTGTGCCAAACCTCCAGGGAAAGATGAACTTGTGGGCAAATTTATTCCAACCATAAATTCAACACCCTCCATGTTCTAGTCAGGAACTGATGGGTTCCTTCAACCAGGATCCTCCTCCCTTTATTTTAACAGAGCCAGATTGAAAAAAATAACTCCAACCTCAGGGCCTGCTGGAAATTAATAACATGTTGATGCCCGAGCCTCAGAGTGTATGACTGAAATCTGAAACAGGAAGGATGGCAACAGGAGGGCTCTCTGCTGTTGTCGTGTGCTGCTTTTGAAACAGCTGTGTAGCCCAGGTTGGCCTAAAACTCGACATGCTCCTGCCTCTGTCTTCTGAGCGCACGAATTATAAACATACACCACATATCCACTAAAGGGCTCTTTTTAAGCCAAAGGGTCTAATAATCCCAAGGTGAAAGTCAAATCAAGACAAAGTCCCAAATTTGCCTAAATTCTGAGTAAAGTTTAGCAATCTCTTCTTCATACTGAAGTCAGACTTTAAGTACCAGAGAAGAGACATTCTTTCCCATAATCCTAAAGACTTTCTGAGACTCCCAGGAGCTGGTATATGGAGGTACATGTCAACAGAAATGTCTCTATTTCCAAGCACTTATTCTAGGGTTACAGATAATCCCAATGAACCAAGGTAATTGCCCAATGGAGGAGGGACTGGGCTAAGGAATGTCGACTCTGAGGACCAAAGTGTAGGCCCAAGACTCTGGCCCCACCACTAAATGGTCTTCCTACACTGTAGCTTCATGCTCCTTGCCCTTATCTAGTCTGGGGGACTCATTAACGCCTTTAATACAGTTCCCTTCCCCCAGACTGGGCCCTCTCACCTGGAATAACAGCTTCATCCTCATTCTCATCCACTTCTGCCCAGGCCACTCGCTGGGCTCGACGATGGGCCTGTAGACGGCTGCCCAAGTCCCTCCGACGCCGGGGCCTGCCTCCAGCGGTTCTCTGCTCCTCAGACTCCTGGGGCCAAGGCTGGGCTACCTGGCCTGCTCCTGCCCGCTCTTCCTCATTGTGCAGTGGCTCTCCACTAGCTTTCGGGAGGGAGGAACCAGAACACTGTCAAGCAGCCCATCCTCTTGACAGTGAAGAAAAACAGCATCTTGGGAGTCTCATCCTCCTCTGCTTAACTTCCTTCTAGACTACTGATGCCCACAGCACAATGTTCCAATTTTGGTCTGTCAAGGCCTTTATTACTCATGCCTCGGTGTCATGCTGCAAGCTTATTTCTCATTTCCTAACTGCTTTAACACCTTTACCTCCTTTCAACTCACTCCTCCTCCCCTTTGCAGGAGACTTGTTAGGATACTCTCGCCCTGAGGTTTACAGATCGCACTCGATGCCCACTGCAAGACTGCATTTACTCCTTGCATGCTGTAATTTTATAGGGTACTCCAACCGGAGAGCACTTTTCACACTCAGGGTTTCAATCTCCCCTCCCTGGAAGATTGGTTGGCTATTAGCTTTACCTCTCTTCCGCCCCTGCGGCACAGAGATGCTCTGAAGTAGCCTATGGGGGTCATAGGCTTAAGAAACTCCTAAGCAAACCTTAAGTGTTAGTAAGGAAGAGTGACAGGTTATATGTTTTGTGCCAGGCCAATGACATGGCCTTCTGATCCTGGTGGAGGGTAGGGCCATGGGTGCCCTCTTGGGCGGAGAGGAAGATGCCTTCAGAGTTCCCGGAGGCTGCCTCGCCCTAGTAAGTAGAACACACCGGGCAGGATTAGGGAGCCTGCAGCCTCTCCTATTGGTGTAGAGCAGAACCGCAGGCTTGGTTCCCAGGTTGGGTCCCCAGCCCTAGGATGCCTATTAGTCCCGAATGCATCCACATGCGCGTGCGCAGAGCTGTTCCCGGCCCGCGCTCCTCGTAAGCGCAGCAAGGCACGTCCGTGCATGCGCACCAGTCGCGATGCGACGGCCTACCAAAGCCCAGGAGTCCTGAGGAACGGACTCCTCCGGCCCTGGGTCGGCGGCACCTCCTACCTGCTGCCGCCCGACCCCGGCTGCGGGTCAGGAAGAAGATAACGCCGATGAGCAAAACCGCCGCCGCCAGATACACCCAGGGCCCCACCATGACGACAGACAGCCCGGCAGTGAAGCCAGCGCGCCCGCGGGACCCGGATCACCAGGCCCCGCCCACTACCGTACGCCCTGCCCAGCTGCACGTTGTGCTCCGCCCCCGCCCAGGGGTGACCAGGGCCTCGGTTAACCCCCAAGTCCTGGCTGCCGCACGTGTCTGTCACTCCAGCACTCGGGAAGTGGGGACCCGAAGACCAGGATTTCAAGGTCGTCTTTGGCTATATAGCGAGTCTGCAGTTAAGAGCACGGGTTGCTATTCCAGAGGGTCCGAGTTCGGATCGCAGCACCCATTTGGTGGCTCACAGTCTCTGTGATTTCAATTCACAGGGATCGGATGCCCTCTACAGACCTCCTCGAGCACCAAGCACGCACGTTGTACACACACATACATGCCTGCAAAACATACTCATAAAATAAATCATAAAGAAAAGAGCCGGGATGGGTAAGTGGGTACCAATTAAACTGGGGTTATAGGTTGGTAGTAGAGCACTCACGGCCAAGGCCCTTAGTTTGATCTTGAGCACTGAAGAAAGGCAGCATGTGTGTTAATATCTTACTAATACTGCAGCTTTGGCATCTATTGCGTTATTTTCTGTAAATTTTGAATATTTTGTAATTTTTTTTCAATATCTGGCAAGTGCTGTTACAGTAAGCTGAATCTAGCGCCTACATTCTTTATATTTGGAAATTGAAACCCATGTTCTTATGCAGGCTCTGCCATGGAGTTTTATCTCAGCCCAGGCCCCTGAATTGATTTTTTTTTTTTTTTCTGAGACAGGGTCTCTGGTAGCCTAGGTTGGCTTGAAACTTGCTGTGTAGCAGAGGATGGCTATGAACTCCTGATCGTTTTACTTCATCCTCCCTAGTGCTTGAGTTAGCTGGGATTACAGACAGGCATGCACCCTGATGCCCAGATTCTCCTCCAGTTTTTGTTTGTGGGTAGGTTGTTTTGTTTCTTTGAGACATGATCTCATTATATCGCCCTGCCTAGCCTAGAACTCATTATGTAGACAAGGCTAGCCTCAAACTTACAGGGATCTGCCAGCCTCTGCCTCAGTTGTAATTAAAGGCATGTGCCACCAGGGACTTGGCTGGCTCCTGCATTTTTTAACAAATATTATTTCATTTTGTGTGTATGTGAGTGGAGTATATGTGTGGACCAGATACTAGAAGAGGACCCAGGTCCTCTCCTCTGCAAGAGCAGTAAGTGCTCTTAACCTTTGAACCATCTCTCCCCTTTTTTTTTTTTTTT